AGCAGCAGGATTTCAGATGAGTTTTTATTGGTACCAAGTCCACCTTCCCTGACTCCTCCAAAGAGCGGACACTCTCCCAGCTGCTGTGATCAGTAAAAAGAAATGTGCAATTCCCACAATAACTTTTGTTTCACAGTCTGGGCTGTGCACATTGAAGAAGTCTTGAGTCCCTGTAGTGTCAGAGTTCTAACTGGGCCATATAGTGTTGGGATCCCTCCCTCGTTAACTGATGCAGCATCAGAGTCCTGGCAGGGTATAAGTGGCATACTTGGGAAAGTGAAGATAGTCTCCTAAAAAGAACTTTCTGAAAGTTCAGAGAGATTTTGGGGAAATGAACAAAGTATGTTGTAGCATTCCCCAGTTTAGCAACAGCTGGGTCTCACTCCTAACCTAAAGGGTAGTGGGGAGACAGAAACACATGGAGGGGCCACCTGACGGGACCTATGGGGTTCAGTAGCAGATTCACCCTGGCAGGGAGGGAGGGTGTGAGTACACACCCACCTTCCTGCCCACCCTCACTGTTCCTCCTGGCCTACAGTCTCCTGCCGGGACCGCCATTAGCCGACTCCGCTGGGAGCTAAGGTAGGAAGCCCAGCATGCAGGCAACCATCCTGATGAGTCTCTTCCTAGACCACAGAGCTGGGGAGATAGGGCCTGAGGGGATCCAGAGGGAAAAGTGGGAGATACAGGTGATCCTCATCATTCGAATACTCGCTAACCTTTCTTGGCACTCTGCCTTCTTTCAGCCCTCATATTGTGAACAAGTATCCATTTGTTGCATATTTAGTGCCATATTTTTCATTAAATTTTTATGGCTTTTGTTGGTGATTTTTGTTGTTTAAATGGCTTCAAGGATAATGCCAGTCTAAGGTCCCTAAGTACAAGAGTGTTCGCCATGAATTTAATGCTAATGAGTGTGTGTGTGTGTGTCTCTAAACAGTAACATGTAAAATAAGATTATATATTGATTGAGTGACAGAAATATAACCAGAGCCTCACAGGAAGCTAACCCTGCATTTTCCCTAGGAAGTAGGTAGCATTCACTAATCCAGGGTTTGTGATGACCTGGCACCACCTCAGTTAAGGAGAACTGTCTTGCCACTAGCTGTTTCATAAAACAACAAGTCTCACCCCTGCAGAATCACCCTTGAGTATGACAAACCTTATCTGAACTTACCTAGGCAAGTCTCTGATTTCTGTTGGTAAAAATTGTTTCTATTTAAAAACAAGTGCCAGGGCTGGGGATTTAGCTCAGTGGTTCCACTGCCTGCCTCGCAAGCTCAAGGACTCGAGTTTGATTCCCAGTACCAATAAAAAATAAAAAGATAAAAACAAGTTCCAATAACAAACGCAGTATTTACATCCCTAGAACATGCCACGGGATTGAGAAATCAGCAGGACATACCCAGTGGTTAGTATTTACATCCCGTCCAAGCCTGGTGATTTTGACTCTGTGGAGCTGCTTAGCTATCCACTTTGCCCTGACTGAGAGTACTCTGAGAACCAGGAAAGTTCAAACAGTGTTTCCTCGTAACTGTCCAAAGCACTAATAGTTGTGAGTAGGGAACTTAGCCAGTGGAATTTGTGGAGCTGCTGTAGCCTTGCTCGTTACCAGAACAAATAACCTGCTTCATTTTGAAATATGTACTGGCACTGAGCTGGCTGCTAAAGAAACCAGCAAGAGCAAGATAGAGGTCACTGCCGTAGCTTCTGATGCTTTCTTCCTATGGAGGAGAAACAGAGGAGAGAAATGTAAACCACAGACCCTAAGAATCTGAATTGCGGTCACACAGAACACGCCGAATTGGCCTGCTGCAGACAGGCAGGTCTGTGCACACCCTACCGAGGTCCCGAGTCTCGCAGAAGATGCCGAATCAAGCCTCTGCAGACAGGCAGTTAAGCCCACGCCCTACCGAGGTCCCCAGTTGCGTGGAACATGCCTAATCAGCCTGCTGCAGACAGGTGGGTTTGTGCACGCCCTACCGAGGTCCCGAGTCAAGCGGATGATGCCAAATCACCCCATTGCAGACAGGCAGCCACCTGGTTCCACACTACAAAGATGCAGAGGACACCAGACCACCAGACCAAGGTACTGAGTCCCACTGCTCCAGGCCCAGAGGTAGGGGCTTTTGAGCCGCCATCCCACTGCTCCTGGTCCAGAGGAAGGGGCTTCCCGGTGATCATCCCTCCAGCTGCTCGCAGCCCAGAGAAAAGGGCTTTTGGGCCACCTTCTGTCCCGCTGATCCTGGCCCAGAGGAAGGGGCTTCCAGGCCACCATCCCTCCCAC